GCTAAGGTACTGCTGGTATTTGATGGGGGTGAATTAGAGTCTCTTATAGCTACTGACCGGGAGCACGCGTTGGAAAATAAAAAGCTACCACTCGGATTCGAACCCGCAGCCTAACGATCTGATAACTGCGAGCTTAACCGCTCGGCCATTTCAGAGACGTCGCTTTTGGCTGTCCATATTAAGGAGATAACAAAACCCTTAACCTTATTGCACAGAATGTTTCTGTGTAAAGACCGAGAGATTAAAACGCTACAGTAGTGCATCACGTAGCAAAAATAAACACATTTACACAAACTATGGTTGTCAACTTCAAATGTTCTACCTCTTTTCTGTGGCAATCTAAATACGCGCGTATCAATTTTGGAAAGTCCCTAGACTAGGTTTGGACAAATGTCTGAACTCTTTCATCGTATTATGTGAATGAAAGACCGTTTTTCCCCTTTTGGGGGAGGGGGCTTCTTCATTAGCATAAACTGACAGCGGAAGGTTGAATCAGGAACCCAATAGTTCTGCTAAATAACACGTTGTGTTGTGTGGTGGATCTGATCTGTGGTTTTAGTTTATGAGGACCTCTTTGCAGCAAATTCATTCTCTATAAATATGTAGTTGAAAAGTGGGCACTGTTCCTGTCATATTATAATTGATTTTTAAAATGTGGTCTTGTATGTATGAGTTGTATTTTTAGTTGTGTAAAATGTTGATGTAGATACATCAGTGTGCTTCTTCCAGGGACCATGAAATAGAAATATTTTTCAAAACCCTTGAAATTATACCTTTGGGTTTTAATCTTATTTGAAATTTTTGTTTTGCAATTTTAAGCCGTATTTTGGAGCTTTTGGGGATTTCATGCCAATGCAATTTGCATATTCTATCCAGGGCACTGAATCTCATTGTTGTACTGATTCGTGCAAAAAAAATTCTAGATTTTTAAAACACTTCTCTCGTAGATTTCATTTCCTTTGGCAATACGTATACGGCAATAAGCCAGCAAGCAATCTTCCCACAGAAATGTTTTCCGATAGCAAACTTGGAGTTCAAAATTTGAACATGAAAACATATAAAGTGATCCATATCTTCCTGGATTTACATCAAAGTAAAAGCGCCCTCACCTGTCAAGAAATGCTTGGTCAGTTTTGAATGTTTAAAAGGTGCACTTTTCCGTTCACGTAACGCAAAAAAGATGTCAAACAGTCTTCATACATTGACGAAGGGTACAGGTAACTTGGATAAAAATGCAAGATACATGTCAATCTGAGTACAAGCCTGAGTTGGGGTAAAGGTTGTGATTCTCAAGACCAAGACTTTGACGTGCAAGCCTTAAGACCAAGACTTAAGGCCAAGGCTTCACCCTCAAGGTCAATTCTCTGCAGTGTAAAGTTGCTACTACATCTATACAACATGTCACATTATAACGAATCATGACTTTAGCATCGTCAAATTGGCAGATATTTCAATGCCAGTCTAATCTTATTTTATTACAGTAATATGAAATCCTGTAATAGGTGACAAATACAATGAGTTCTGTCTGACATGTTCAAGATAAGATCGCAGTGTGGAGAGTAAGGGAATTCTAGTTACCATAACATCAGTTTCCAAGCGCAGTATACTCAGAGACGTGATCAGCTGCAGTCCACACCTGAGATCAGATGATGTTCTACAATCCTGGCCAAAATTGTTGGGACACGTATCAGTAGGCCCCGTTACCCTCCCCAGGTACCTCAGTCCCCCGGTCAATGTTGTCTTCTCGAGCTGGAACGGAGGCCGCGCACTGAGACCCGGCATTAAGAGGGGGCCCGGGGTTCGGGGCCCAACGAGATTTGGCCAGGATTGTAGGTTCTTTTCTTTCGTAGTGGCCATCATTGAATGTGTTTGATCATGGTGTTATAACTCCCTTTGATTGCCTCTCCAAGTCTAATTATGGAGGGTAAAAGGGGCGGAGAGGCTTTGAGTAGTGATAATGTTCCGTGAACTTCCATCACACCCTTCGTTACTACTGTATCATATACCTCCAACTTTCCTAGGGAAAGTCACGGTCTCTTGAACCGCAAAACTGGCGAAGGAACCCAGATTCCCGCCGTCGTGATTTGCAACAGTGAGCTCGTGACAAACTTACACAGGTTGCAAATCAAGTCAAGCCCCCGTAGGTTATCATCTTCATGAGTCATAACTGCCTGGACGGCCACTAAGTGCTCATTGCCAAAAAAACAAATCACTTATGAAATGACGAAGACAACAGCAGCAATAATAAACTACACGCGCATCAACGGAGAGAGCATTAGTGATTTAGTTTGCTCAGTGGACGGATGGGGGTCATGGCAGGAGCAAGGGTGGGGAGAGGAGCGATCTATCTTGACGAAGCCGTCACAACCTGGGCGCTGGATGTGAGTTGCGTGCGGATCGACCGATCAGCTTCGCAGTGTATTACATCCCATTGGCAATGACCCGATTATGTGCGACGGCATGGGGGAGTATTGTGTGCGTAGAGCGTCATCTACGTCGATCAAGATGCTGGCGCTATTCGGCTGATGACAGGACAAACCACTGCTCCTGAGGAAGCTAGTAATCAATTGTTACATTGCCCAACGTTGATGAAAATGCTCATTATTGGCGCCACTTTCATCGAGTGGGAAAGTTCTTCTCAAATGTTATACCCAAACAGTCAGCAGCCCCACACCTGTTGTCCACCAAATGAAAATGCCCAATAGTTTATTTTTGAGGGTGTTGGAATTTACACTGTCCCACACGTTGTAGTATACGCGGTATAGCTTTAAGCGCAGTCATAAAAATCAATTCAGACACTTTTGTAGGTTGCAAAAAAATCCATGAATACACTCAGTGATCCTCAGCTAAGGAAAAACTGTGTAGCTGAGAAAGTAATTGCGACTGCAGAGCAGAGATTGAATCCTTATAAACTAGAAAAAAGGTGGCAAAGTGTTTTTGCCCCCTCTTGCATGAAGATTATGCAGAGGCTTAAGATCTTACAATGTGTAAGCTTTTAATGGTCAATTTTCAGATTTTTTTGGGGGGGAGCAAAAGAATTAACAACACAATAATGCAGTTTGACTTTTAGCCTTTTCCCTCGAAGAGAATGGCAGTGCTAAGCAAGTGAAATCGTGCCAAAAACCGTCTTAAAAAAGTAATATGCTTGCCTTAAAATAAGCAGTAACTTAGTGGAAACAGAAAGATACCACGGGCAACTGGAAATTTAAAGAGGAAAAGAATGCAATTTCGAAGAGCTTTACGTGGGCACTGGCTATTGAATCTGGGTGAGGTGATCCCCAAAAATCGAACAGCAGGGCAGTTTTGCATGCACATGGAAACCACAGAGGATGCGCGCTGTTTACACAGCCGGCACTTGTGAGGTGTACAAAATGATATTCAAGATGGTGAAGTGTCCACGGACGCGAGTGCTGTGCAATGTATCCCTCGCGTTTTTCGCCTTTGCGGTGCACAACCAGCTTTGTAAAATAAAGCGCCCTGGGTTAAATCGGATTTTTACCCTAATGAGATGTTTTTTGGCCCCTCTCAAAGACGAGACGGAGTGATTCTTCAAAAATAAGGCTTGGAACTTCAAACATTTAATTAAAACTTGGCACGAATACATCACCTGTAAATGTGAAACGTTTCAGCCGAATTGGTCAGATCTTTTCAAACTAAGCAGCGTCCAGGATGAGCACTCTCTTGGCCTACTCCACGAAGAAAAAAGTCCAAATAATTTCAGCCCCCTGTATCGGCAACATGCTTCACGGAAAGTGTTGCAATCCGAACAGCAATCTTGTCAAACGTGCACAGAGCTGTTATACATTTGGTAAGATCTCTTGAAAGTGTGTGGGTTATATTAAGAAAATGTACATGGACCAGTTATCCTCGGGCACGTTTAAAGGGTCGAAGTTAACAGAACTGAAACCCGAATCTCTTTTAAGGCGATCTCCTTTAGGCTAACGTGATGAAGTGAAGTTAGTTTTAGAGGCACCAGGAAACCATGTACCATGCCGCCAAACCTGCATTGTTTCGAATACCACGTGGCAGGGAACTTAGACAAAAGGTTTGCACTGCATGCACTGCACACCGTGTTGTCCCAGAACTCTGTACTTTCACCAGCAACCGATACGCCTATAAACTGCCTGCCAGCCCGCTGTAAACAACAGGTGCATCCTTAATCCAATACAGGTATATCGCCCCAGTCCCAAATTGTCGGAAGCATCCTGGTTCGCTGAGCCGACCGTTGCTCATAGTTGCTGGTACCTGCGGGCCATGGATCAGCTTTCCCTTCGTGTGTCTTGTCTCGGCAGAGCAGGAGCCCGTTAGGAAGCCAATCGGTGGGGGGCTCAGGCTGATCGGCTCGTGTCTTCCCCGCCTGCGGGAGAGCCGGTATGGGTTTTCGGGTAGGATCATCTGGCGCGGTGATTCGATTTTGGTTTCTTGGACGCGGCTTCTGGAATGAACCGACCGTAGGCGGTTCTGCCAGAAAGGTTCCGCTCCTTGTTCAACTTTGGATCCCATGTGCCTCAGGCAATCATGCACACTGTGTAGTTTATGTCAGGGTGAATCTGCCTTCCTTTTTTTCGCCAAGGACGTCTCTGATAATTAGATCTTAATTCCACTGGAATTGATAACAACTCAAAATAATCTGTTTTCGAAGAAGCGCTTCTTACTGCAAATTGTAAAGCTGAAAGAATCTCACCGTTCGTCCTGGATCACCCTATTTTTGCCCGATTGTAGAAATCCTCCTTTTATACTAATACGATCCTGTGAATGACACTTTATAGATCCTTTTATTAAACCTATACAGTTCCGGCTAAGAATAATCCGGCACCCAAGAAATTTCGACAATCTTCAACTGCATATATTCCAGGTAAGATACCACTGAGCATTTCACTCTATAGGGTTAAATTCCACGCGACTCGGAATATTAGGGCCCAGTTTCCAAGCTCTACTATCCATGGAATTTGAATGTGTGTTTTCCATCATCATTCTTTGCTAACAGTATTTGTGCTGATAACCAACGGAGCACGGAATATACCTTCATCATGATGATGCCATTTTGTCTTGTCCCTGTTTACCAAATTACAAAAGTGATACAACTTTACGTATTGCTGAAAAGAAACAGACCATTTTTTTTTCTTCCAGCCTCGGTTTGGTAACGTTAATTTATTTAACCACAAAGCCCGCTAGAGCCGTTGGCGTGGAATTATCGACTAAGCTCATTTGCTTGCAGGAGATGCAGTGAATTTGGACACGATTGCCCATAATGAAAGATTCAACTCTCCATTAATTACTTACCGCACAGTTTGGATACAACCAACCTGTAACCTCACCCCAACCTTTGAGCGCGCGTGCACACCAGGGTGTCCTTATCTTCATTTAAAACACATTGCGTTATGGGAAGATGTTTATACGTCAAGAGCACTGACCACGCTGTGAAATGAGTGGCAAGTTTGAACAGGTTGGAAATGTCAACATAAGCGCGAGGATCGCTTCATTATGGAATTATTCGTTGGTCATGACATGCTGCGTAGGCACGAGCAATGGTTAAATCGGGCTCATTACATGGAAGCGGCCATCTGCTGAGAGAAAAGAAATGAGTATTGTCATTTTGGTAACCACTGGCTTTTTCAAAAAGTGCAGGCTTTCACACGAGAAGGGGTTAATTACCTCAACTTCATTGCGATTGCAGGGGGGAGGGGCAAAGCACTTTTCCGGGGGAACTCATCAGCACTGAACTGACCATAAAGCACGGAACGGAAGTGACAAACCATTCAAAGTGAAAATGGGCCAATTTGAAGATTTTTGTCTACTGGCAAATTGGCATTTTGAGTCCGTTTTCGTCTCTGTCTTCCCCTTATTTCTACTTTTTCAGGGGCTTGTCCCTTCTTACGAACCCCACGTCTCTGAAGTATTAGTTTTAGCCATATAGAAAGCGCACGTAAGTAGTCGACCCCGGCATGTCTTAATTTCTTAGTGCAGTCAGTTGCGTAGGGCGGAGCGTAGTGTCGGAATCAGGCGTGCTACAGCCATACCCGCCGAGTGGGCCTCCTGCCGCTGGCCATTCATCCTATTTCCATCGGGGAACCTTGGAAATACCTAAAGGAGTAAAGCTTTCATTTAAGGTGACAAGCTCTCTCGTGCGCGCTGTCGTTTCTGTCCCATATAGCGTGCCGACGAGTTTCATTTATTTCCGAGCGCGCGAGCGGTCGGGGAGCCCCGAAGCTTTCCCCCCCTTGATTATAGGGACACGGCAAAATCAACAGTGTAATGTGGAACATGCATGGCAAAGGAGTTTGCACGGCTGTGTGTGGGCCCGAACGACACTACGGGAAATGAAAGGCTACAACATTACACGCTTCTTTGTGACAGACGACGGCCATTTCAAGAGTGAATGTCACGAAGCGGGGCACTAACACGAAAATGCGGCCGCGTGTAACCAATTCTACCGCTTCTGCCCCAGAATCACTCGCTCCCCAGTTCCTTGTCAGATCTCAGTATATGCAATGTTTCACGACGCCTGATAGCCTATCCTTTTTCTGCCCTTGTCCCAATTAAATTGATAAGCGAGAGGGATGTTCTCTCTGAACCGTTGTTTCTTTTACGATCTACTGCAAAATTGGTGAGTTTTTGTTCCAAGGATTTCATCTTATCAGAAGTAACATACGGTATAGCCGAAAAAACATCTGCGGACAATTGATTTCCAGGAAAGGTTTTCAAACAGCCGTGGACTAATCTGGCATCGGAGAAGAGATGTTTTTGTCAGCACAGCGCCGGCTCATAACGTCTAGTCCCTCCGAGATATGTTTCTAGCTCATCAAGACATTTTCAGTAATCAAGAACGGCTGAGACCCCAGCCCACCGCGCCGAAAAGATATTATTTCGAACTATCATAAAAAGGAGCGGTCCCTGTGTTAGAATTTCCCCTTTCGTACTCGTTGCCATCAAAACAGTGACTTTGGTCAGCGTCCACTCTGCCAGTTCTGTCTTTCCTTGATTTTGATAAAATTGTAACTCCACTTCACTTCCATTTTGCAACAAAAGGGCGTCCTTACCGCGATTTTTAAAGGAGGTCGTTAGGTGCAGCTCTTTTCCTCACATTATCTGAAGAAAAGTAACAAAGAATTGGAAGAAAACCCTTCCTCGGTATTAATGTAGTGAACAAAGCCTTAGAGTTCTGGCGCTGTTGCTGTGTGCATAACAATCGCACAGCACCCAATGTGTCTGTTTGTATTTGCCAACGAGCCGCAATGTTGCCTATAGCTAAAATTCGTTCTAGCAACATCAATTATCCACAGCCATTGTGTAAATTCGTAAATTCAAGATTGTGATGGCGACTCAGCTTTTCTATCGACTGTGAAGGTGATATCACCGGAGAATGTCAATCTTTATGTGATGTTGGAGTTACGTATTGATAGTTTCTTTGTAAGCAGATCATTCAAATTGGTATGAAAGACAAGGCGTGATTTTGTTTCCGTTAACTTTACCAGGTACACGCTTATGCATAGCTAAAGCTGATTGTAACCCAGGAGTTGGTGTACTGAATCTCTTGCACAGTGCATGCAATTAACGGGTGGGACGATTTGAAGGAGATAGGCCCTATCTTTGTAATCTTCGAACGAACATCAACTACTGATGGATGCCTAATGTTGGTCTTTGGAAGCAAAACTAAAAGCTTCGAAGAGATTAGAATGATATCACTCCCGTATCCTGGAAAACAAAGTTAGATCAATAAAGTAAGCCCAACACCGTGACAAGTACAGAGCTGTACGGGAATGAACGATACGAAATCGACATGGGTAGTACGATGTGTGACTCAACTCAGACGGGATACATTCAGAGAACACAGCACAGATACAATGTTCAGTAAAATGCCGAGCTTAATAACTCCCACACACTGTGATCCGTTATGAAGTGGCCAATGCAAAACATTGCTAATTTAGTCATCGTATCCCAACAATCGCCCACGCCTCACCCTGTCTCGCGTTCTGTCTGCTTCCCTTGTTACCGAGCCTGCCTGCGGCGAAGTACGCCCTTTTGATGATTGCCGGGGGGGGGTGCACATTAATGTCGACTTGGTATGAGTCTCGGGGGACGCTTCTAATTTCCGTTGATACATTGAAATTACGTGGCTGGACGTTGAACCTCCGGATGCATGCGAAACTGCGTGTGCGTGGGATTGCAACATGAATCGATCCTGCACTGTCATTGCTTACAAAACTTCTCTCCCCTTTAAATGCGCTACCATCTCCCACTTGTGAGTTCAAATTTTTCCGCATTTTGTTTCAATAGGGCGAGATTTTTTTATCAAAGGCTTGCTTTCTTTTTTACCCCTCTTTGGAGTTGTTTGTTTTGGCTAGTGAATTTTAGGTTTCTCATCTCCGGCGGTAGCCATTACGCCAAAGGTTATTTAAGATTTCCCTGTGAAAAAAAATGATGTGCATCTGACAGTCGATTTAAAGAGGTAGACCTATCGGTGCATTTTCAAGAAAAAATTTTCGATCATTTTTTACTTATACCTTCTCCTGGTTTTCACCCACAAATTCATTTTATCCAATGGGTGAAAGTACAATCTGTTGACGCATGCCATTCTCACGGGTGGATCTAGAGGTAGTGGGAACTAATCGCCGTATATTTCAAATTTTCCTTTGTAGGCAGACACCTTCCTTGTCCCTCAGCTGATAGATGGTTATTGAATGCTGTTACTACAGGAAGGAATTTTCTCCGGAATGAGCCAATATTTGCTCGTATTGTGCTCATTCAGGATTGGAATTTCGACGCCGTTTGGGGCACCACCCTCTGCCATTAATATAGGATCCGCTACCAAACCTCGACCTTAAACCTAGCACCGCTGAGGCAGCTAGGAACTTACAAAAACCCAAATCAAATATTACCCCGGCGAAATAAGTCATGCTCTCTCTACTGTGAGACTAAAAGATCTGCGTGCTGTTGACACTTGTAGCCCCGAGGTCCATTACGCTCCAGACAGACCGTATAACGAGCCCGGTAGGTAGGTATTTAGCGCTCAAACGAACTGGGCAAGTAACAAGTCCAAGAGAATAGACAACGTCTAGCACGAGATCCCGCGAGTGATACGGTCCACGTTCACTATTGAGCTGAATGTTTCTTGGGTTAGAATACAAAAGGCAAAATTCATCTGTCACCCCAGGCTTTGCAGGCAATTACCGTAACTGCTAATCTACGTTGTTATGCTGACATTATTGGTACACAGCAAAAACTGTGGTGTTAAACTCGACCTTTTTTGGTGTTATTAGATGAACACGCCAAAGGGTGTTACTTTAACACTGCAGGTGTTACTTTGCACACCTGTAAGTGTTACAATGCTCTAGAGGGTGTTAAAAGTAACACCAAGTAATACCAATATTTTTAACACCGGTGAAAAGTGTTGGTGTAGTCCTCTGGTAACACCGGTGTGTTAAATTTGACACCTCAGTTTTTGCAGTGTGTCTTTTAAAGGGGACCTATTACCTTTGGTGTTATATTCATACGTGACTTTGCCAATTTGGCAAGGTGTAGATCTAGGCTTTGTTAAAATGAAAGCAGCAGAGATGTAATTGCATCATACCTTCATTGCCGTAACTTCTCTAGAATAGCTTTTCTTGGTCGCGAAAATTCCCGTTCATCTGTTGGTTTTTTGCTAATTAATAATTTCTTCGCCAGAAGAAAATGTCTTTAGTCGTTTCCACAACGAAAATTAATGACGAAATTTTTCGTTGTTTTTTTTCCTCCCAGCTGTTTTTCCTTTCAATGTATTTCTTAATCAAGCCGGCCTTAAGGGCTTAATAGCCTATCGCCGATACAGACAGAGACGGGAACAGATAATTTGCATTAGAACGGGTCCTGTGGTAT